CAAGACAGGAAACAAAAGATCTGCAACAGGAACACAGAAAAATAAAAATCTGATGGGGTCCGCATATATACTCCCCTTCCCTCCCCTACTCAGACCCCACTTCCGTTGGACTCCAGGATGCCCCCCTCGGATACTCTGTTTTCCCATCTTCTATGCTAGAAATTTTGAAAAAGTTGAATGCCAGTACATTCCTCTACATCCCAAGGCATTGTACTATGTCTGATACCATATATGATACTCTGGCTATGGGGAACGGTCACTCACCCTTACTGTAATGATTTTCTGTACTTCGCTCAAAGTTTGCTCATATTGGATGTTTTTACTCCCTGAAAGGGAGACACTGTATATTTGTTGTGTGTGGGTGTGACCCATAAAGAATTTAGGAGAAAAAAAAAAAATCTGATGAGGGTTCCAGCCTTTCCCCCATTCTACTTAACAAAAGCATTTGTATTCTAACATAAAAGCATAATTGATTCCTTTCACACAATCAATAACATTTCCTTTGATGCAAACCGTATAGGTACTGGTTTAGTAAAAACTCATCGAAAAAACCTTTTCCTTGGAGTCCACTGAGAGATGTCTTTCACCTTTGGGTTATACTGCCTCCTGGGAAATGGACATCAGCAATACAAAAAAAAACAAACCTATAGGGCAGCCCAGGATACCCCCTCCTACTACCAGCATGCCTCAGTTTTGTAGCAAAGCAGTATTGGGAACATGATCATAAACACAGAGGTATAACCTGTGTGTCTCCTCAATGAACTCCAAAAATTATTTTACACCGAGTAAAAAATATTAACGATTTCCACTGAGGAACACAGAAATCTAACCTTCAGGAAGTCAAAAAAAGTTAAACTGAGGGGTGGACAACAGAGCGAACAATCACAAACAGGCCAAACAAAAGAAAGAACTAAGGGCAGGCTGCAGCTTAAAGGGCTGTTTGAAGGACCTCAAAGGACCCAAAGCTGGCATCAGATGAGTCCAAAGTGTCCATTTGGTAGAACCTGGTGAACAGACAACCAGGTGTAAGCCTTGCAACTGAGAAACAGTTGCCTGATATTACCAAGCCTGTGAAGAATGCATAGGCCTCACAGACTGCACCTTTCCAGGAAAGGGTGGAACCAGATTCTTGAGACCATAAGATTGTAAGATGGTCTGCCTTAGCTATCTAGAGATGGTGAAACGAGAAACTGGAACACCCTTATGGGGTCAATCCAGGATGAGAAAAAGAATCAGTCTTTCCCCAAGCAGTGGCTGGGGAATAAAATTTCACTGCTCAAACCACATTTAGACAATGGAGGGAAATTGCCTTTATGTAAATGCCAGCCAGATGGACAAAAGAACAAATAGCTTTATCGAAGTGAAAGGCAAAAACCACATAGGCAAGAAAGAAGTCCTGGGAATCAGCACCACTTTGTCCCAATGCAATGTAAAAACATTCTTGCAGGAGAAGATCACCAGTTCAGACACTCACCTAACAGAGGTTCTGTCCAGAATAGGATCAGATTGATCTCTCTTGCCGTGGCAAGACTTCTGGTCCCTCACTGATGACGGATGTATGTCACCACTGTAGCATTGTCCAAATAAATCTGCATTGAATGACCCTCAGTAGGATGGTCCAGTGCTGCAAGAGAGCAAAATTATCCGAAGTTCCAAGATGTTGGTTGGGAGATGAAACTCCTCCAGCAACCAAGTTCCCTGCGCGACATGATGCTCAGGACTCCTCACCAACCTGATCAGCTGGCATCCATTGTGAGATCCTTCAAATGATGGGAAGAAAGGACTCTGGGTTCTTCAGTCACCAAACCAGGGGCAACCTGGTCTGCAAAGGTTAACAAACATCTCCCAACTTTGGGGTCGCACTTTCATGAAAAAAAAAAAACTAATGGGAAGATGGGGCAGCAAGCTTGGGGAGAGAAGTCTCAACATGGGAATAGAGCAACGAAGGGGACATTTATTAGCAGTCAGAGCAGGGGAATACTTTGCAGTCTGTTCTGTAGGCTTCTTCCGCTGATGAAGATGTTTGATCTTACCACCAGTAACATTCTTGGGAACATCATCAAGATTTGTTTCAAAGAAATGTTGTACATCATAGGCCATGCAGATCAGACATACAAGGGCTCCACAGTATGCCTATAGACAAAGTGAACTACACATATGTACCACATTGGAAATGAAAGGAGAGACCTGAGGTCTGACAAAGTTGAAGTTTCTAAAGCCATCTTCTCAATATGTTCAAAAAGTAAGCAATTACCTGCAGTAGTTGTTAGATCTCTCAAGGGATTTTGGCCAGTTAAGACATGGTTTGACAAGTAAAGTCACGGACAGAATCAGGTGAAGGGCAGGATCTGCCAGAAACAACAGGGATCCACAAACGGCTTCCAACCGTTTATTAACTGGGTTCCTAGAGAAACGAATGTCTCCACCAGGATAGTAAGCACCTTGTTAAGGCATGACATATCCACAGTGGGACTGGTCTGCTTCTCTGCAAAATCCACACCAAATGAATACAAAGCTAATAAGCTCTTGGGAGCATCAATAACTTAGCGGGTGTTTCCAATTGCCAAAAGAGAAATAGTTGAAAAAGTGTAAAGGCAAAGTCTTTGTGGCCACAGAAGTTTTACATGACCCAAGGCTGGAAACTGCACTGGTAGAAGTAACAGGCTGATCCTCTAGGCTAGAGTGGTGTGCACAGCCTCAATAGGATTAGAAGCCAAAATGGTCTCCTTTTTATCAGAGTAATATCAACTGACTGCAACTCCTTCCGTAAAAAGCTGATCAGTTAAGGACTGGAGTGGCTGATGGCACAGAAACGGCTATGGCTGCAGGCAAACCAGATACAAAATCTGCTGGAGGGGATGTGGGAGCATGCTTGTAACCTTTGACATCAAAGTCAGAAAATAACTGGGTTTTTGGGCCATAAAGTCTTACATGACCAAAGTAAGGACCTACGCTAAAAAAGGGCAGAGGAAGCAGCCACACCCAACAGAGCTAAGAGGACTTAGAAAACCTCGGTGATAAGGCAACATACACATTCAAGGTACAAAGCAAGGCTTTAACCATTAGCCGTCCGTCCTATAGCCGTTTGGCAGCTGCAAAAATGCTGTAGCTTTCCAGGGTGTACGCCATTTGGCGTCCTCCCGCACATGCACAGCTCGCGCGGTTGCAGAGCCACGCAGCGGCGCGATCTGTCACCGGCCGTGTACCTCGGACACAGCAGATGACAGATCTGAGGACCGGCTCCCATTGCTGGTACCATGTGACCTGCTGTGACCAATCACAGCAGGTCACACGACAGTTGTATACAATGGATGGCTTCATTCATGCCATCCATTGTATACTAGTGCCTAGCTGTGAATGGTCACAGCAGGTCACATGCACATGTCATGTGATTAGCTGTGACCAAATCACAGCTAAGCACAAAAAAAAAAAAAAAACTGAATGAATCGATGTCATTCAGTAGATGCTTGCTTATAGCAAAGTAATTCTTTGCTATAAGCAAATTGTGTAAAATAAATACTGATCACTTCCCCAAAGTAGTACAATGTTACTATGGTAACATTGTACTACTTTGCTCATAGTAAAATCTTAAAAAAAATAAATGTAATAAAAAATTAAAAATAAAAAAAATATATTTTTTTATACTGTCACAAGTCAGTGTCCCTGTTCACCGCCATGCCACTTATATGATGATGCTGTACTGCACTGGTGACAGTATGTAAAAAAAAAAAAAAAAAAAAAATTTGAAAATAAAATTTTTAATTTTTTCATTTTCCGAAAAATTATGACAAAAAAAATACAACTTCAAAAAACTCGCCATTCCTCTTATGAAGTACGTCGGACTGTCTACTCTGCAAAAAGGGGTCATTTGGGGGATATCTGTACTATTCTGACATTCTTGGACCTCAAGAAATTAGATTGGCTGTCAGTACTTCAGGATTGATCAATTTTCAGATCTATACCATAGTTTGTGAACTCTATAACTTTCCTACAAAGTAAATAATACATCCTAATTTGGGTTATTTTCACCAAAGACATGTAGCAGAATACATTTTGGCCTAAATTTATGAAGAACAATTATTTATTTGTAAACTTTTATAACAGAAACAAAGAAAAACGTGTTTTTTTTTCAAACTTTTTGGTCTTTTTTTTGTTAATTTAGCAAAAAATAAAAACCTTGGCGTTGATGAAATACCACCAAAAGAAAGCTCTAGTTGTGTGAAGAAAATGATAAAATTTTAGTTTGGGTACAATGTTGTATGACCGCGTAATTGTCATTCAAAATGTGAAAGCGCTGAAACGTGAAAACTGGCCTGGGCAGGAAGGTGTAAATTTGCCCGGTATTGAAATGGTTAAGTACTCACAGAAACCGGACGGCTGGTAGCATGTGAAGGTCAGATAGCCAGAGGTGACCAAAGTCACCCCATTCAGGAGGAACAGATTGAACTTTGATGGGGCCCTTGCAAGAGGGGGCAGTGGAAGGGAGATGCTTCCTAGATCCTGTATGGCAGGAAAGAGAGCATAGTGCACAAGCATGCAACACACCACATAGCAGGTGATGTCAGTGCTCAGTCCTACAGCATTGACCCATTCTGCTGCAAAAAACCATCAAGAACAGAGAAGTAAATGTGCCAAGTGACCTATGCAAAAGATGTACTGTAGCCTTCTGGTACTCATCCGGCTGTGCCTCATGCGGAATCCAGTACCCCAAGGTCACTTCTAGGCTATCCCCACAAAATCCAGTTCAGAGTTGTCCAGAAGTGACACTTCAAAAGCCAGGCTGAGGACGACAGCTGCAACTGAAGAGGCAAAGCTCCAGCAGAGATGTACAGAAGAGTCTGGACTGAAGGAAAAATCGAAGAAGCAAAAAAGTTCTTAACACAGCAGAGATGAGCAAGAAACTGAGGAATGGTAGTGTAGGGGTTTTCCAGGACTGGCCTACAGTTTTCCTGTGTCCCTTAATGAACCAAAATAATTAAAAAAAAAAAAAAAAAAAACCTTTACAAAATCCCTTTAAATGTATCCCTGCCCCAAAACAAATTACCTTGCTGATTAAAATCCATCGATGGCTGCTTACAATCCTGAGCTCGATGCCCGCTGACCCCACAGTTATAACACGAGACATTGCCGCTCTTCTTGTGCGGCGTGCCATTAATGGCTCCCATTATTCCCTGAGGTTGGTACACCCCCGCTGTGCCAGTGATAAAGTTCTGCATAGGGGGAATGGAGAAGCTTGGCTGCCCAGTCAGCATGGAGTCGGGGTTCAGGCTGTTGCTGTAGGGGTTGTGCATGACAGGGAAGGAGGAGCTATTGTTGTATTGCTGGGTGTTGATATACCCGTTATTGCACATTGGGTTGAAGGGCATGAGAGAAAACGGAAACATGGAGGGTGCAGAGAAGTGCTGAAAATAGTTTCCGTAGTTGACGGCTACACCGCTGCTTCCGCAGCTACCGCTGCACCCGCAAGAGCTGCACACGGTGCACCCTGCCTGGGACTGCTGCTGTTGGTGGTGTAGGTGGTGGTGGCCCGGCGTCTGGCTGGCAACTTGCAAGTTCATGGTCGGTGAGTTCCCTCCGCCGCTGTAGTAGCTATTGTCAGACACAGACGTTGGGCTCGAACTGGGCACTGGGCAGCTGGGCAGGTTGGCTATGCTGTACGATGTAGATGTGAGGCTGCTCGAAGAGGCATTGCTGTTTGCACAGAAGTTGCCGGACATCTGAGCTACCGGTGTGCCACTCATGGTGGAGAAGGCAACTTTGGTATTGGCTGTATAGAGAACATTTCTGGGGCTTATTATTGCGGGGGAGACACTGGAACATGACATCTGCCCAACCATAGAAGAATCGGCGGATGACACCAGAAGCTTCACCGGGGTGCGAGCAATGTGGAAGACTGGTGCAGATGATGGAGTGGCTGGTGTGCTGCTGTCCACCATCACCGAAGTTGGCTTCATCGTCCTTTCCCCAGACATGGAACTGCCGACTTTGGTGCGGACGCCGAAGGCCATGGTCTGAGCCATAGCACTGCTGTCAGGCATTATGGAAAGAACCTGTCCAGATTGCAAAGGGCTAGACTGAGCCTTAACATCGAGAAGCATGCCACCAAAGCTCTTCTCAATTTTGATGCTGCTCCTGGGTGCAGTTAATGATTTGTTCCTTTCCTCTGAAGACAGGAAAGAGTGCGGAGACTGGAGGAGTTTGATCTCAGTGCCTCCGCGGTCTGACTTGTGCAAAGTGTTGATGAGGTGAAGGGGAGCGATATGAGTCGGGGTCCCGGTAATGATCTGAAGTGGCAGAGGGTGATGGCTCGCGGCACTGGATCCTGCGTCATTCTGAACAGGCAGAACCTGAGCTGTCGGACGCACCGAGGTTGTCGTAAAGTGATTCACCAACAAGACAGACTTTTCCTTCTCTGCGCAGTCCAAGTGTCTACCAAGACCTACGGAGAAAGAATGATCAGACCTTGTCCCATAGGCTGCTTTACCGATAACAGGAAGATAATGGGCTACTTACGCCTGTCCATTTCTTCTGCGCTGTCCGAGCTCTCCTCTCGTGTCTGCAGTCCCATTGGGCTGGAAGGGGAACTGGAGTACTCGGATGACGAGCTGCCTTCTTGAGGCATTTGAGGACTTGTTGGCTCCACGTCTACAGACAGTTCTACCGAGAAAGAAAAAAAATTACATAATTTTTTTAAGTCTTTTATGACCAGTGGTCAATGATGCCTAGATGCCCACACAAAATTTAAGAGCATCAGCATGCATCACTTAAGAGTTATTAAACCCTAAAACATTCTTCATATTGTTAGCCTTGCTGGCTTGCTACATATTTATTTTCTTCCCTTGTCACTCCATGCTGCAGAAAAAAAAAAAATGCTGCCCACTGCACGTCCTCCTATGGGTTGGCTATGCTGCCTTGCAGGGTGCATTAGAAGCTGTTCAGTCACTGCCTGTACAGCTCTAAGAGGGGTGCCAGGAATTAATAATCTCTCAGCACATCGACTTAGTCCCAGTCCATGTCTCTGCCCATACAGCTAAAGGGATGCCTAAGCTCATAGCTTTTTATCCATGCTCTGCTGCAGGAAGAACCCATGAAGGCAGTCCTTGCATATGGCCTGGGCAGCAAAAACAAACATGTCATACTTACCTGCTCTGTGCAGGTAAGTTCAGCACAAGGCAGCCCCGATCTTCCCTTTTCTCAGGTCCCCCACCGGCCCTCCTGGCCCCTTCTTCCTGCCAAGTGCCGTCACAGCAAGGAGCTTGCTATGGGGGTGCCCGCAGGCTTGCTTCTGAGCCACTGCTCTGTGTTCCCATTCACACACAGCCTTGTCTCGTCCCCCCCCCCCCCCATGCTCTCTCCCCATTGGCTCGCTGGCTGTGATTTACAGCCAATGGGTGGGAGAGACCCTGGAGAGCCGAGGCTCTTGTGCACATCGCTGCGAAAGTGAGTATTAGGAAGGGCTGGGGGGGCTGCTGCATACAGGTTTTTTACCTTCATGCACAGAATGCATAAAGATAAAAAAACCTTGAGCCTTTACAACCTCTTTAAGAAAGTAGGAGTACCAGCAATGTAGATGTTACTGCTTCCAGCCATGCACAAGCACAGAACTGCTCCTTTTTCTACATATGAAGCTCTAAAGCAGAAAAGTTAAAAGTAATTACGGGTCTTAAAAAAGATGAAAAAACAAAAAACGCTGTGCAAATAGTGAAAAAGTGAAAAAATAGCTGCTGGCAAGGTCAAGTGTATACAAAGAATATAAATAAATTGCCGCGCTCAAATGTCGCAACTCGGAATCTGTCACAACCATATAAGTAATAACATAAATGAGTCTAAATGTAGAAATGATTCCCCTCCCCTCTGAAGCATGCACACATCACCCCCATACTTAAAAAGCCCTCCCTGGACCCCAATGACCCGAACAACCTCAGACCCATCTCCCTGCTCCCATTCACATCCAAACTCCTCGAGCGCTTAGTCTACACTCGTCTAAGCTCTCACCTCAAAGACAACAACCTCCTCGATCCCCTACAGTCCGGCTTCCGTCCCCTACACTCCACCGAAACCGCCCTACTCAAACTCTCCACCGACCTTCTAACCGCCAAAGCTAATGGCCACTATTCAGTGCTCCTACTCTTTGACCTCTCCGCGGCCTTCGACACAGTCGACCACCCCCTCCTCCTCAAAAAAAAACTACACTCCCTCGGCCTCAGAGATTCCGCTCTCTCCTGGCTCTCATCCTACCTGTCACAGCGCTCTTCCAGCGTTACCTATAATGCTACCACCTCCCCCCCTCTCTGTCGGGGTCCCTCAAGGCTCCGTCCTCGGGCCCCTTCTCTTCTCCATCTACGCCTCCTCTTTTGGCCAACTCATACACTCTCACGGCTTCAACTACCACCTCTATGCCGATGACAAACAATTCTATCTCTCAACCCCTCGCCTCACCCCCTCAGTCTCCACCCAAATCACAAACCTACTGAATGACATATCAGACTGGATGTCGCTCCACTTCCTTAAACTGAACCTCTCCAAAACCGAGCTCCTAGTCTTCCCCCCAGCCTGCACACCACCCCCCCACTGACTTCTCCATCACGTCCAACAATGCCACTATCAGGCCCACCCCGCAGGCCAGAGTACTTGGTGTCATTCTGGACTCCAACTTATCCTTCCAGCCCCAAGTCTAATCATTAACAAACTCATGCAGACTCCACCTCCGCAACATCGCCAAAATCCGCACGTTCCTAACCCCAGAAACCACTAAACAGCTCATCCACTCCCTCATCATATCACGACTCAACTACTGCAACTCCCTCCTCACTGGCCTGCCTCGCCACAGGCTATCCCCACTTCAGTCGATCCTGAATACGGCAGCCAGACTCATTCACCTTACCAACCGCTCCATCTCCGCCACCCCCCTCTGCCAATCCCTCCACTGGCTTCCGATTGTGCAACGGATCAAATTCAAAATCCTAACACTGACGTACAAAGCTGTCCACCATACTGCCCCGAACTACATCACTGACCTAATATCCAAGTACCGCCCAGCACGCACACTCCGCTCCTCACAAGACCTCCTTCTCTCTAGTTCCCTGGTCTCCTCCTCCCATGCCCGCATCCAGGATTTCTCCAGGGTGTCACCCATCCTCTGGAACTCCCTGCCCCAACCCATCAGACTATCACCTACTTTCCTCTCCTTGAGGCGTACCCTGAAAACCCACCTCTTCAGGGAAGCCTACCCCACCCCCTGCTAATTTGCCGACCTCCTCTACTCTCCCTACCACTCTATCCCCCACAGCTATCTCCTCCTGTGCCACCATCCCCTCCCTCCTAGATTGTAAGCTCGAAAGAGCAGGGCCCTCGATCCCCTCATGTTTTGCATTGTATTGGTATTGTTCTGTCACATGCTCTGTCCCCCTTTGTAATGTACAGCGCTGAGCGAACTATTGGCGCTTTATAAATACTGTATAATAATAACAGTCCCAGTGTTATGAACCATATAGTAAATCACCACGTGTCTTCAATATAATCAGTGCTCCACCACCAGAAAACGATAGGACTCTTACCATAACATGTGGGACCCTTATAAAAGAGTCACAAATATATCCACCAAATCCCTCAGAAATGGAAGATGTTATATCATGGTACTGGATGGAAGTATCACCTTCAATTCCTCCCCATTCTTAATCACACGATAATACCTCTCAGTATGGCCATGCAAAGAAAGACAAAGGGGCGACCATCGTATAAAACCACAAAACATGTTTATCATCATAAAGTATTGCACATTCAGGTGGGCAAATCAGCGTTGTGTACAGAGTATTCTCCTGTCCCAGAAACAGGTACACTTCCTGGTGTTAGAGAGCAGCGTTTAGATTTCAGACGCACAAGCTCCACCCGACGCGTTTTGTCACGACATTGTCTGGGGCGTGGAAACTATGTGTGACCCTCACCACTGCTTTTTATAGCCATCCAGAGAGGGAATAAGCCCCCTTAGATCAATTATTGGAACTAAAAAATGGCCGCCGTGTCACCAGACCTCGATATGGATTTAAAATGGCCACTGCTTAGCTAAACCAAGCCTCGGTTTGGATGTCACAATGAATATAATGCCACCAAGCCTCAGTCTGGGGATCAGACTCCAACATGGCTGCCATCATTAATTATCTTATGTGAAATGCATAATATATTATGTCTCTTCCACAGGGACTGATCAAATAATAAACTGCCTCACATAAATCTAAATTAACTGTATAGAGATTTATAATTAGTTTACTAAAAAAAAAAAAAAACCCTAAAAAACCTTTAAAAACAATTTAATTTTATTTAAAATAATGTAATTGTATCTGCCAATAACACTACTAAATAGAAGATACTGCAGCTCCCACTGCAGCCTCGAGGAGGAGTTGTTCATTTACAGGCTGAAGGCTTGTTATGTCAATAAAACCTCCAATAGACATGTGATCACCATGTCACAGCATTAAGAAGAGTGCAAAAATATACTTGTTGATGCTACCAAAATGCTGTTAAAAAATACATTGATGACTAAAGTAAATAGAGAAAAGTTTATTTTAATTTTTAAAAACGTTTTTATTTGCCTCCTTGAGCTGATCTGAACTAGATAATGTGTAAAAGAAATGCAGCAATTCCCTTTCTGCAGCAAATAGTCCGCTGTCCCCTCTTAGTAATTCTGGCTCTTAGAAGACAGTAGTGGGGGGCTGGAAGGTCAGACTTTGCCCCGACTTCCATGGCTAGTAGTCTGGAAACCTGATGCGATCTCACCTGTAGAATGGTTATAGTGGACGCTCTGCATTGGCCCGACATGGCTAGTGGGAGGGACCCTGGCAACCCCGCTACTTGTGAAGGTACACTGTGATGGATTCAGACACCTCTTCTCTGATTTCTCCCTACAGAATGAAACAAATGGGGGTAAATATAGACATGAAACAGACCACTTGAATTCTCATACAGCTCCTTAAGTGGATTTCTGGGATATGGCATCAAGTCCCGGCCAGGACACTATCCGCATGGAGTTTGCATGTTCTCTCTGTGCTAGTGTAGGTTTCTTCAATGTACTCCGGTTTCCTCCCACACTTCAAAGACATAATGGTAGGTTAATTGGCTCCTGACTAAAATGGCCCTAGTATGTGTATGAGATAGGGACTTTAGATTGTAAGCTCCTTGAGGACAGGAACTGATGCGAATGTACAATATGTAAAGTACTGTGTAAAATGTACACAGTGCAGTGTACAATTGGTGCTGTAAATTCCTATAATAATTTGATAAAAGGTCATTCTGTGAACTAAAGTGGAGGGGCCACTTCTGCACCACCCCAAGTAACCATCAATGGGATTCCCTCACTACATTGTTACTTGCACAGCACTGCAGAATGAAGCCAGCCCAATAAAAACGCAACAAATCCGAGATATGGGAGATGACAAAATTTACATTCAAGACTGGATTGTCAGCTTGATGGTAAATAAACTGATCTCTCTCTCTCTCTATATATATATTTATACACACACACACACATATATTTATACACACACACACACACATATATATATACATACACACACACACACACACATATATACACATACATACATACATATATACACACACACACACACACACACACACACACTGCAGTCAAAAGTATTCAGACCCCCTTCTCGTTTTTCAGTTTTATGTTGCAGTCTGATACTACAGTTTTTCAAATTCAGTTTTTTCTCATTAATCTACACTCAGTACCCCATAATGACAAAGCGAAAAGTAGAATTTTAGACATACTTGCAAATTTATAAAAAATAAAAAAACTGAAATATCACATTGCACGAGTAATCAGACCATTTGCAACAATTGAAATTTAGCTCAGGTGCCTCCCATTTCTCCTGATCGTTGTGGAGATGTTTCTGCACCTTGACTGGAGTCTACCTGAGGTAAATTAAATTAATTGGTCTGGACTTGGAAAGGAACACAACTCTCTATAAACGGCCTCACAGTTGATAATGCAGGGCTTGACAAATCCCACGCACCAAGTCGCCATGGCGACTACAGATTGTGTCCTGGCGCCTGGGTTCACACACTGCTTCCCATAGACTTCAGCGGGAGGTCGCCTCCCACAGACTTCAGCCGGAGGTCGCCTGCCACAGACTTCAGCCGGAGGTCGCCTGCCACAGACTTCAGCCGGAGGTCGCCTGCCACAGACTTCAGCCGGAGGTCGCCTGCCACAGACTTCAGCCGGAGGTCGCCTGCCACAGACTTCAGCCGGAGGTCGCCTGCCACAGACTTCAGCCGGAGGTCGCCTGCCACAGACTTTAGCGGGTGTCAATAGCAATCCTATATGATTACATATCTCCGCATGCCACTCTATCACTTCTGAGTCTGGAACGCACCGTTACAAATTCGTACAGGACCCTTTTTATAATGGCATTTAAAACACAATGAGTGTGGATCGTATCTATGTGAACTACCTCAATAGGAACACAAAATATCTAGCCTGTCACGCGAATCTGTGAGATTCAAAACAAATCCAGAATCGCATGTGTGAATCAGGGTGGCTCCATTCACACCTAGGGGTTTTAGGATTGTAGAAGAATCGCTGTGATCGCAAAACACAGGTTCAGGTGCCATTATTTTCAGTGGTGCCTAAAACATGGCGAGCTTTTGCCGTGATTGTCACGAGGAGAAATTGCAACGGGTGAAGTCCCAGGCGCTGACGACACATGCTACGAAAAAAAAAACCTGCCTCTTAACTTTTTTAGCTGGCTCATAGATTCAAAGTAAATTTGTCAAGCCCTGTGATATCGCATACTGTATCAGAGCAAAATCCATGAGGTCAAAGAAACTGCCTGCAGAGCTCAGAAACAGGATTATCCCAAGGCACAGATCTGGGGAAGACTATAAAAATATTCTGCTGCACTGAAGGTTCCAAAGAGCACAGTGACCGCCATAATTCCCAAATGAAAGAAGTTTAGCACAACCAGGACTCCAAGAGCTGATCACCTGGCCAAATTGAGAAATTGGGTGAGAAGGGCCTTCGTAAGACAGGTGACCAACAACACGATGGTCACTCTGACTGAGCTCCAGAAATCCTGTGTGGAGATGGGACAAAGTTCCAGAAGGACAACCATCACTGCAGCTCTCCACTGACCTGGGCTTTATGGCAGAGTGGCTAGACAGATGCCTCTCCTTTTATGTGCAAAACACATAAAAGCATGCTTGGAATTTGCAAAAAAAGGAAGGACTCTCAGACTGTGTGGAACAAGATTCTCTGGTCTGATTAAACCAAGATTGGCCTCAATTCTAAACATTATGTTTAAAGGAAGCCAGGCATCGCTTACCTGCCAAATACCAACCCAACAGTGAAGCATGGTGGTGACAGCGTCATGTTGTGGGTTTTTTTCTTCAGCAGCAGGAACTGGGGGACTGATCAGGGTTGAGGAAAAGCTGAATGGAGCAAAGTAGAGATATCTTCAATGAAAACTTGTTCCACAACGCTCAGGACCTCATAGTGGGCTGACGGTTCACCTTCCAACATGACAACCATCCTAAGCACACAGCCAAGGCAACATAGGATTGGCTTAGGGACAATTCTGTGAATGTCCTAGAGTGGCCCAGCCAAAGCCCTGACTTGAATCTTATTGAACATCTCTGGAGAGACCTGTAAATGGCTGTCCACCAACGGTTCCCATCCAGCTTGACTGAGCTTGAGGATTTGCAAAGAAGAATGGCAGAAAATCCCCCAATCCAGGTGTGCAGAACTTGTGGCATCATACCCAAAAAGACTCGAGGCTGTAAGTGCTGCCAAAGGTGCTTCAACAAAGTATTGAGTAAAGGGTCTGAATACTTAGGTACTGTACATGTGATATTTCAGTTTTTCCTTTTAAATAAATTCACTGACATTTCTACAGAAATGATTGAGTACTAATGTGATACTTTCTTTTATTTGCACTAACATACAATTCTGAGGACAAGCTTTCGGGGGTATGTCCCCTTCTTCAAGGTCCAAGCAGTACAAGAAAGCTTTTCCTCAAAATTGTATGTTACTGCAAATAAAAAAAAAGTATCACGTCAGTACTCAATTGTTTCTGTCGCAAGTGCACTAATACGGCTACAATCACCACTGACATTTCTAAAATTCTGTTTTCACTTTGTCATTATGAGGTTCTGAGTGTAGATTAATGAGGACAAAATGAATTTAAACAACTAAAGTATCAGGCTGCAACAAAACAACACTGAAAAAAAGTGAAGGGGATCTGAGAACTTTATGAATACACTATATATATATATAAAAATCTAAATAATATACATGTGTACCATCAATCTATATAGCTACAGAAGTCTTCTTCACACACCTTCCCCCTTCAACACATCATAATACAGAATCATATTTTCAAAGGCTAAGTTGTGGGATGCTTCTTTCTGGATAATTCTGTTTATTTACTTATTGCAGGTGCAATGCTCTGCAGGCTTCTATGCAAATAAAAGTACATGCAGATTAAATAGTAAAAAAACACAGTAAATAAAAAGTAGTAAATGCAGATAAAATCAAGTTTGCTTCATTTACTACTTTTATTTTCTAAAAGGTAGACTGAGCCTTTAAGAAAGCACTGTTGTGATGTCCGTTTGCTGACCGAATTCCAAGGCAATGTTCACATAATCTTAGCCAAAGGAGTTCAAAAGGGAATTACATGGAGACCACACACACCGAGAGGTAAAGTGAATAATATTGATTATCTCGTTACAATGGCATCTGAAAGTGGATAAGATAAATCAGGCAGCAAGTAAACATGTTGGCCCTGAAGTTGATGTGTTGAAAGCAGAAAGAAAAAAAAAAAAAGGAATATGAGCAACTTTGACAAGGGCCAAATTTTAATGGCTAGACGACTGGGTCACAGCAAATCCAAAACTACAGCTGTTGTGGGATGTTTCCGGTCTGCAGTGGTCAGTTTTTGTAGGTCAAAATGCTGAAAAAGGTCATCCTGGTTCCAACAGAATGGTGTCAGAACACACAATGCATCAGTTTGTTGTATATGGAGCTGCAGATCGGTCAAGGTGCCCAAGCTGTTCCAGAGCCGCAGTCAAAAATGCCTACAATCGACACGAGCATCAGAACTGTACCATGGAGCAATGGAAGTAGGTGGCCTAGTCTAAAGGATTCAAAAACGGTTTGAGGAACACAAGGTGGTGACTTGGCCCCCCAATTCTTCAAATCTCAATTCAATCAAACATCTGTTGGATGCAGGGGCGGACTGACAACTCATGGGGCCCCTGGGCAATAGGGGATCATGGGACCCCTATGTCCTTGCCCAAACTCAAAAAAGTCTATGAAAAAGGTACCAGGGGCATCTCATGGGGCCACCTACTGACCACGGGCCCTCGGGCACTGCCCGAGTTTCCAAATGGTCAGTTCGCCCCTGGTTGGATGTGCAGGAAAAACATGTCCAATCCATGAAGGCCCCACCTAGCAACTTACAGGACTTACAAGGATCTGCTACTGAAGGCTTGGTTCAACAGCTTATGTTTAGAGGTCTAGTGGAGTTATGTTTTGACAGGTTATGGTGGGTGGTCATAATGTTATGGCTGATTGGTGTATAGTCTTCTAGAACACACAGTGCACTTTAAAAGTATATGTAAAATCAATCACCAATTTTTATATAAGCTGTTAATGTCATTTCAAAAGACATTTTCAATATTTGTAAATCTGCAGCTTTTATTAAAGCTGGCACTTTCTGTTATAGGGTGACAACTCTGTCCCTGTCTCCTAACTGTGCTCCTGCATTGTCACCCCGGCTTCTGATGGAGACTGCAAATGACTGTTTCAACACACATTACACAGACATAGCCCTTTGTTGTCACCATCAGGAAACCCACCCTCAGTAATGTCATGCAGCAATTGTTGGAGTTCATGTAAACATGATGTGGTTGCAAGTAGGCTGCAGGAGATCAGCAGCATTGAAATGTAACAAAAGATGAAAACAAGGTAAAAACAAGGTTTATGTTACACAGAGCAAACTAAGTGTTTTCAAGTTAGGGTGTGCATTTAATTTACTGAAACCCCTACAAATCATCTGTGCTAGTTCAATGGGGTGAGACTTCCATTTTCTGCTCACACACCCCAGTGTGGCTGCACGTCATAAGTGAAGACAGTGCCCCCTGCTGGTACTCACTTCTCCAGCTCCAGCTGGGTCTTCAGCTTCTTCTTTGCACCCATCGTTAGGGACTCAAACTTGTTTAAATCTTCCTCAGTAAGACTCAAGAACTGCAGCAGGACAGAAGAGACCGAGTCAGAGCACAGTGCAGCACACAGCGGCCATTACAGATCAGAAGAGGCTTCAGCAGAAACCTGATACCTGTTTACTAAGCTTAAATCTACTTTTATACGCAGCTGTACAAAACACTCTCTGAAAACAAAGAATTACTGTGTCAGGAGACAATATCATACACTGTTCTTTCTTACCAGGAATATAGAATTCTAGCACACTATATCCAATGACAGGTGCTCTTTCTACCTACAGCTCTAAAGGACAAACCTGACAACATATCACAGTAAGGAAGGTCTGGGAGGACCACAATAACTAAGATCTTATGACTAAGCCCTTTCTGCATCAGTTAAGGAGGGTCCGGACAAACCTCTGGGCCGACCATTATTTAGAGGAGCTGGACGGACCCTGTAACTAAGGCCTTTCCACGTAAAGCACGTCACAATGGGGAGGGTCTAGGAAGACCACTATGAAGAGAATCACTACTACTAAGCCCTTTCCATGTGAAAGGTGTTATAGTAAAGAAGGTCTGAGCAGACCACTGGAGGATCTGGACAGATCTCTATGACTAAGATCGCTACAACCAAGTTGTTTCCATGTAAAAAGCGTCAGGAGTAAGGAGGGTCTGAGCAGACCACTGGAGGATCTGGACAGCTCTCTCTGACTACGATCTCCACAACTAAGCCCGTTCCACGTAAAAAGCTTCAGGAGTAAGGATGGTCTGAGCAGACCACTGGAGGATCTGGACAGCTCTTTGACTACAATCTCTACAACTTAGCCTTTTCCATGTGAAAAGCATAAGGAGTAAGAAGGGTCTGAGCAGACCACTGTGGAGGATCTGGATGGCTCTCTATGACTACGATCTCCACAACTAAGCCCGTTCCATGTAAAAAGCTTCAGGAGTAAGGATGGTCTGAGCAGTCCACTGTGGAGGATCTGGACAGATCTCTATGACTAAGATATCTACAACTAAGCCCTTTCCTTGTGAAAAACGTCAGGAGTAAGGAGGATCTGAGCAGTCCTCTACAACTAAGTGCTCTAAGATTAAGCTCTCTCCATCTGAAAGGCATCAGAATAAGGAGGAGCTGAGAAGAGCACTTTGGGGGGTCTGGATGGACCTCTATGACGAAGATCTCTACAACTAAGACCTTTGCATGTGACAGGTGTCAGAGTAAGGAGGGTCTGATGTTCTGATGAAGCTGAGCTACGCCTATGCACAGCGAAACCGGTTGACAAGGCCATCTGGATGTCCAGATCCGGACTACATATTTGGAATCTCTCCACAGAGAGGTAAATAAGCGGCGCCAACTGATTAGCCGCTGCAGGATTCTCTCTATACAGAGGTGCCATCCTCTGTTTTTGACTAACTGAAGAGGAATCTTTTTAGGCAATCAACTATCTATGAGGAGCTGCCATTCAATGGTACCTGCAAAAGCAAATGTCAGATCCTACTGTAAGTGTTTCAAGTTGCATCACATTCAACAAGTGCACTTTTTTTAATACACCTACCAAACAGCTTTGGAACGTATGAACAGTGCACTTGTAACAAATACAGTGCATCAATGGAACAAATGAGGATCATAATCTGTGAAGTGCGCGCTGACTCTAATTTATGATTCATAGAAACTGCAATATGGACAGTGTGCTTACACACCTCGGTTGATCAACTATAGGGTTGATTGCAGGCTACCGGGTAGTAAGATTGTTTTATCCCAATGATGGAAGTACTCCCATGCAAGCGTCTATCCCGTGATGCAGTATAAGGAGTACAGCTATTGAGGTTCCTAGGGATATCCCTCCTGGAAGTCCTGGCTGATACCTTACATTTAGAGTTAAGATTGTACAAGCAAATCTTAATTGCTAACCATAGAGTTGTTCACAGACCACCAAACAAAAAGTTTTCACATCCCCATGATGGAATTATTCTCATACGAGTTCATGCCCACTGTGATAGACAGTGTGGTTCTCAGTTCCTAGGGATGGTATTCCTGGTTGTGACTTAATATTGCAACCCCAGCTACAAGGCAGTGCCTGTGATAATAGATTGTACTTTTTTGGCGTATATGTGATCTGGATGGTACTTTGGTGAGCCATACTACATTCTAGGAGCCACTTGTCTTCATGATGCCACCATATTAGGCCCAAATGATACCATAATACTTACCAAGGATTTACCAACCAAGTGGGCATATTATCTATTGGCAAATGAGGGTTAAATCGAGCTAGGCTCTATTTTTTTAATTAGCACTACTGCAGGGGTTACAAACCTAATTAACCTGTGTGTTAACTCATTATGGCCCAAGGCACCTTAAGACTGCAGAAGCAAGTGGGGAGGGTAAAAGAGCACCCGCAGGGGAGGTTCTTACCCCCTAGGTAACTTTTGGAATTTTTGTGCTTTCATTTATTCTGGCTCCTCCAAGTTTCATTAGGAAAAGGCCAGTGAAGGCTTTCACGATTTCCTGTTTAAATACATTTGATTTTCAATGTCATGGTAGTATTTACCAGTGGAGCCTGCAATCTGATATGGGAGAGCATCGCTAACCATAGACAGCTGCATGGTAGATCTGCAGTTATCAGATCAGTGATGATGTGGCTGTATAGGGTCTAACTGTGTATGTCAGTATTTAATGTGGATAGCCTTAGCTGTTTTAAGGTCTATGGTTAATCTAGATGTGTGCTATAAACTAATCGCTTTTTTTGTATATCTAATATTTTTACTCATTTGCAGACCAATAAAAAATACTTTTTTATACAAATATAAACTACATTAATTTTCCAAGTCACATCTGTTGCCTGATGTGACCCCTATATGCTTTCTGTGTCTATACCGAAGTCTCTTGTTAGAAGGGTCTGACAGACCATTGTGGAGGGTCTGGATAGACCTCTATGACACCTTTTCACATGGAAAGGTTTTAGTCAGAGTAAGGAGGGTCTGAACAGATCACTGTGAAGAATCTGGACAGACCTCTAATACTTAGATCTCTATAGTTTAGCCCTTTCAATGTGACAGGCGTCAATTGTAAGGAGGATCTGAGCACACCATTATGGAGGGTCTGGACAGACCTCTACAACTAAGCCCTTTCCCCGTGTCAGAATAAGGAGGAGCTGAGAAGACCACTTTAGAGGGTGTGGATGGTCCTCTAAGAATAAAATCTCTACAATTAAGCCTTTTCCATGTGACAGGAGTCAAGAGTGAGGAGGATCCGAGCAGACCAGTTTGGAGGGTTTGGATGGGCCTCTAATAAAGGCCTCTACAACTAAGCCCTTTCCAGAGGAAATTTTGGGCAGCACACGATGAGGCAGGTCTGGGAGGACACGTATGACTAATATCCAAGATCTCTCGGACTAGGCTCCTTTCTGCTGAAATGCATTAGAGTAAGGAGGCTCTTGGCTGACAACTAGAAAGAAGGTCTGGGAAGACCTCTATAACTAAGCCTTTCTGAATGAAACACATAAGTATGACTAGGATCTTGGGCAGACACCTAGAGGTGTACATACCTGCAGCACCTAGAGGTGTACATACCTGCAGCAGTCTTCCAAACCTTCTTGCCATGGATGAAGCCAGGCCATTCTGACACCTCCTGGAACCTCGCACACCCATTCCTGCCTCCTGTTTGTTCCTATTAACCAGTGAACTCACTTATCATGCTTATGGGCCAAGATTAAGAGGGTGTGGGGTTTAGCAGCAAGTCCTGACTCTAACCAGAAGGCTGTGATAACAAGGCGGCATGCAAGGCATTTTGTTATTGGATGAGAGAGAGGAGAGGAAAAACAACAGATAGGTAGGAACACTTGAAGGTAATAAAAGAGCTCACAGCTGCAGTCATCTACCATTAATTTAAAGTAGGATTCTGCCTTTAGCCCTGTATGCTACACCTCCCATATTTATTATTCTGTATACTGCGTCCCATACTCTGACACAGTAACTGTCATTACCTTCTTCATGGACAGCTGGCTGAAAACGGCGTAGTATTTGTGCAGACGCAACTTGCGCAGCCACTCCAGGATTTCCTGCTGTTCTTGAGTCTGCGGGCTTGGCACGCTGGCGGTGATGGTGGTAGAGGTAGCCTCCACCTGCGGCCGGTATGTCACAGCAGAGGAGCTGGGACATGGTGAACCGCCAATGATGGCCCCACCGCCATGGTGCAGTGCAATGCTGCTGTGGGAAGACTGGATACTTGCGACACCACATATGGGCCTACAGGGAAAAACAGAACGACATATGAACCGCCAGCATCTCCACAGCAAAGCGCATGCAGCCGGTTCATATTAAAGAAAAGGCTCAGAAAATCCAGGCGCCCAGCCTAGTGATGTCACCCCCTGGCAAGGACCTCTCTCCATTCATCCAGCATTTTCATACAGTCATTTTAGCATTTAAAGTGAACTTGTTAGCCGTTGTAAAAGGGGAATTTTTGTCAAAAGTAAGCAACACAAAGTATTATACTATTTCATTAAGCCAGAAAATGTTCCCCAGCGCACCCCTCTGACACTGGCTTCAATTTGTTACAAAGGGCATGACTTCTCTGACTTTGGGTCTAAACTCCACCCACTATCTTCTGACCAATAAAACTACTCGTTGGCAGCTGTGGCACTCTCTGAAGACAAGGGTTTGACAATTGGGGGGGGGGGGGTCAGTGGGCAGGAGAGCACCTAAGTCAGAAAAATTTCAGAGGGGTGCACACGGAAGGGATAAAAGTTAATAGTAGATGCTCTGCAGTTTTACTTTTAAAAATGTAAAATCCTTCGACAGAGGAACTTACACTCTAATGTCCCCCTCACAGTCACAAACTATTATATATTTATATAGCTCTAACATATACCACAGTGCTGTACAGAGAACACTTAGCCAATCACATTAGTCTGCACCAGAAGAGCTTACACTCTAATGTCTCCATTACACTGTAAGTGAAGGGGAGCCCTGCTCAGGGGGCAGGGCCATGACGCCCTGTACACACAGTCTGTCCTCCTAAGAGTCATTCAATGTAGAAGACTGGGGACATCTTGTGGAGAAGAAGAGGTACTGCAGTGTACTCTGCAATTAAGATTAAATTTTTTCAGGGTGTACTAGGTGCGTGCTCACAATTTTAAAGGAAGCCAATTCTACAACCATCAGGTTTTCTGGACTGCGGAAGGAAGTTAAATGATCTGGTGGAAGCCAACACACAAACCATGCAAGTATCACGTTCAGTATGTAACGATTTTAACTGATCTCCATAAAAAATACCTCTGACCCTTCAGATCAAACTATCATTGTCTAAGTTTACATACCGTATAGGGGGGCCCACTGCTGTGTTCACTTTAACATGGGTTGGGTTGCCGGGACCTGTACACAACAAACAAACCAGGTGAGCTGGACTAGCAAAACGCCTAATTTCATGGAAAAATCATTATGAGATGGGCAAGGGATGAGGAGGAAGAACATGGAGAGAGAATATGGAAGAGACAGGCAAGATACAAAGAAAAGATCAGCAGGAATACACCAAAATGTTTTGCCACCTATTGAGCCCACTCACTGATCCACCATCTATTCCACGTAAGCCTGTTACCCTGGTAGACGTCCAATCCCAACCTCCCTTGTAAGAGGCTAAGTGGGGGAATGCCATCCTATTTCCATTTTACTCGAGGTGCACATTGATGCAGATCAGCGAGGGGGTGGGGGGGACGTCTGATGTGAAAGGGGGGGGGGGGGAAATCTGATGTGAAAGGGGGGGGGACAACTTCTATGATGTGAAAGAGGGAGAGGGACTTCTGATGTGAAAGGGTAGGGGGGGACTTCTGATGTAATTGTCTGTAAATGCGGGCTTCTGACATGAAAGGGATGGAGAGGACGACTTTTGCCGTGAAGTGGGGGGGGGGGGGCACTCTCATGTGGTGGGGTCTTCTGATATCAACAGGGAGGACTCGGATGTGATGGGGTCTTCTGATGCGATAGGGGACTCTGAAGTGTAGTTATTACTTGTTCATTCAATTACATTTTAATCATTCACTTATAAAACGGATTCTTTCCTTTTCAGGTCAGTGAGCACTCAGCCAACCAGAGCCCGGGACCATGATCCTCAGCCACATACATCTCTGTGCTATGTAATAAGAATGCATTATACAATGATTCAGTCTAGGTTCACAGTGCGGGACTTGCAGTGATCCCTGTGCGTTTCCCACACCGAATCATAGTTGCACTCTTCATGCGATCTGCTGCAGATGCCAATATTGTCCCCAAAAACAGGTCGCAAAATGCAGTGCGACTGCCTGAATAGATCACATCAGTGCTCACACCCATGCGATTCGATTCCAGGGCGGCATAAAAAAGGTACCTGCACCTCATGTGGATGCAATGCGATTTGAGCCACACAAAATGAATGGGCTCAAATCACATCACACAGAAATGCAGGAATGCGGTGCGATGCGGCAGTGTGAGCCATCGCTTAATGTATCGTCAATTTAACTTCAAATTTCTTTTCCTCTATGGAAATTATTTAGAAGAAAGAAAGATATCAGAAAAACAAATGGTGTCCATGACAGTTCCGGATACTGGGACACTCACTCAAGCTCTGATGCGGTTGGTGGCTTGGTAAACTACTGAAGAACTTCTTGATAAGGTCACTCTTTAGTACATGGGGAGGCAGGCACACCAGATACCTGCGGATAAATCACAAAGCACCATGACACAAAACATGACTGGAAAATGCGATATGTCAGCCGCAATCAATGTGATTGGAACGCAGACAAGAAATGGCGGTAGTTGTGAAAAATCATACCGGAGATCTAAATCCAGATCCACGTGGTTCCTGTCCATGGAATAGGAGTCCACACTGCTGCGGTAAGGAATGCATTTCTCCAAATCTTCTAAATACAGGTGGGAGAGCTGTAGAAGGAACAGACATTGTGTATTACTGCGAGGATCCGGATTCGCCGGCCCTGGACTACCTATCGCAGCAATGCGGCAAACGATTAGCCTTTTGCTGCACGGGCTATTTTTTAACATGATAAAATGCATATTTTAGGTCTGATGATTACCCTAAACCCCCAAACATTGTACATTTCCTGAAAGTAGACCCTGGATTATTATTATTATTATACAGGATTTTATATATTATTATTATTATACAGGATTTTATATATTATTATTATACAGGATTTATATATTATTATTATACAGGATTTATATATTATTATACAGGATTTATATATTATGATTATTATTATACAGGATTTATATATTATGATTAGAGATGAGCGAATCGAACCTGGCGAAGTGGAATTCGTTTCGAATATCAGGAAAAATTCGATTCGCATCGAATCCGAATTTTAGCAAACTTCGGGTGCACGAATCGAATTTTTCCCGATCAGCCGGCAAAAGTGTCACTGCAGAGAGCTCCGCTATTTCTGACAGTTCATTTACAGCGGTTGAAACATTGTATCTATTTGTTTCCATTTAGGATACAGATGTTTTTATTCGGAAATAAATAGATACAATGTTTCAACCGCTGTACATGTGAAGGAACTGTCAGAGAACTGTCAGAAATAGCGGAGCTCTCTGCAGATACACTTTTTGCTGTACTGGAATTCTTCTTCTTTTCATTCTTCTTCTTCTTCTTCTTTTCATTCTTCTTCTTCTTCTTCTTTTCATTCTTCTTCTTCTTTTCATTCTTCTTTTCCCTTCTCATTCTTCTTTCCCCTTCTTCTTTCCCTTCTTCTTTTCCTTCTTCTTTTCCTTCTTCTTTTCCTTCTTCTCATTCTTCTTCTTCTTCATTCTTCTTCTTCTCATTCTTCTTCTTCTCATTCTTCTTCTTCTCATTCTTCTTCTTCTCATTCTTCTTTTCTCATTCTTCTTCTTCTCATTCTTCTTCTTCTTTTCATTCTTCTTCTTCTTCTCATTCTTCTTCTTCTCATTCTTCTTCTTCTCATTCTTCTTTTCATTCTTCTTTTCATTCTTCTTCTTCTTCGTCGTGCCCGTGACTGCCCAAATGAGTGAAGTGTGCGGTGATTCTAAGATCGACGGCACTCATCTGCATGTCATACTGACTGACAGTATTATTTCTCTTCCCCAGCAGACTCCAAGGGCATTTAAATTAAAGGTACAGTGTTCTGCACTAATATAAAGGCTCTCTGAAGCCTAGAAACCCTTTTAATAAGTTAAATTCGCGGCAAATAAATTTCGCATCGAATCTAATTTCTCCCGCAAATTCGGCGAATCGGCCGAATCGAATTTTTGAATAATTCGCTCATCTCATCTCTAATTATGATTATTATTATACAGGATTTATATTTATTATTATTATTATACAGGCTTTATATATTATTATTATACAGGATTTATATATTATTATTATACAGGCTTTATATATATACAGGATATATTTATACAGGATTTATATCGCGCCAACAGTTTGCTCAGCGCTTTACAATATAACGGGAGACAATACAGTAACAATACAGTTCAATGCAAGAGGGTTAGGAGGGCCTGATCCTTGGAGCTTACAATCTAGGAGATGATGGTAGTTGCAATTTTTGCCATACAATACTATCGCCAGCGATTAATGATTATCAAACCCATATATCTGGGGAAAACACACTTAACCACTTCATGTCCGGACACTTTCACCCCCTTCCTGCCCAGGCCAATTTTAAGCTTTCAGCGCTGTCACAATTTGAGTGACAATTGCGCGGTCATGCAACACTGTACCCATATGAATTTTTTACAATTTTTTTGAGGCTGATAAAACTTTTATTTTGGTGGAATTTATTCACCACTGGGATTTTAATTTTTTTGCTATATAAATGAAAAAGTCCAAACATTTTGAAAAAAAGTGTTTTTTTCCTATAAAACTTTGCAAATAAATAATCTTTCTTCATAAATCTTGGCCAAAATGTATTCAGCTTTTTTTTTTAGTAAAAAAAAAGAAAAAAAAACCCAAAATTAGTTATAACCAAAAATTATAATTTATCTAAATTTTTTTTACATTTTAATTTTATTATTTTATATTATTATTTATGGTTTTTTTTTTTTTTTTTTTTACATACTGTCACCATAGTGACACTGTACTACTTGTGGGGGGTGATGAAAATTTTTTTTTTTTTTAACACCGATTGCTGTTACACCCATAAAGGCAGTAAAAGCAATAATTTCTCCTCTCTCTGGTTGC